AGTTATCTCTCCAGGAGGAATCCAGCCAGAGAGAGAGAGAGAGAGCGAGAGAGAGAGAGAGAGAGAGAGAGAGAGAGAGAGAGAGAGAGAGAGAGAGAGAGAGAGAGAGAGAGGACAGATCGATGTACTATGGATAGGGAGGCCTGTCTGCCTCAGTAAGTGCTGCTACACTCTCCTATTTAGACCCCCCCGGCTGTTGACTGGGGCTCCACTGCATCAATCAATGAATGAATACATACATAAATGAAAACATTCTTTTAGTCAATCAGTCAATCTAGAGCCGAGTGTAAAATAGAAAGTTGGTTCCCACACACTTGGGTACAGTCAGTTCTTTTGAATGCAAATAGTTTTGAACAGTCTTACTAAACGGAGTGCCATTTTCTTGATATGACTTGATCGATCTGGCTCATTTAGACTAGTTCAGAATTCTGTCCTGTGTAGTTTGAAGAGAGGAATGGAACTGCATTGGAGATGAATACGATTTCCATTCTGTCGCAGAATATTTCCCCTCTTCATAATTTGTAATAAGCTGTGTCAAGGAACAATTTATTTTCATGTTTCAGTCCGTGGCTTCAATCAGGGAACTGCCCTCCTTGAGCTAATTAAAAACAACAACAACATGCTTAACATGCATTCACAGATACAGAGCTCATTAGACGGACAACAAACGAGGCTACAGAGAGCCCACAGTGCCGGATTCATTATGCTGACTGCTGCTTTGTTAAGTAAGTTGACTGGTACAGGAAAGGACGCGCTCACAGATTTCCCGTTATTTCCACCGACATGAATGATGGCCAAAACGCCAATAAGTCTAAGATCCTACAGCCATGCTAGCTGCTCTGTGAGGCATGCTCACAATCACAATGTCAACATTCTGATAGCTAGCAAGTATAAGGTTTACCATTTTCACCATCATATTTAAGCGAGTTAGCAAGCTAATATCTCCTAATGAGCAGTAATTACAAAGTACAGCTGAGGCTCAAAGGAAAATCAAAGCGGTTTTAAAGCGATTGATGGTTGTAGATGAAAAGTCAGTGGATCACCAAAGTCAACAAGCTCCATCCTCTGGGGACCAAGAACGCCTGCACAAAACTCCACGGCAATCCATCCGATAGTTGATGAGATATTTCAGTCAGGGTGAAAGTGGTGGGCCGGCCGACCGACTGATAGACATTGCCCTCCCTTGAGCCTGCCACGCGAGTGGCTGAAAATGAACAGCAATAAAACAGAAATATCCTTTAATGTCAGCTGTGTTTCCTCTTGTGTCTGTACTGTACTATTGTATTTTCCTTTTTCCCCTGTGTAATGTTGAAGAATGTGTTGCCTGGGTTTTCTGAATATAAACGAATGTATTTTGTTGTAATATCAACACAATTCTGAAAGCATTACCAAGTTGAGAATGAGAAGGGTGAACGCACAAAAAAGTAACAAATATATTTTTGTAAGATATCACAACCAACCGTTGTCTTGGCTCAGAACTCGAAAGATCAGTCAAGACAACAGATTGCGTGCGCGTGTTCAAGACTCTGACCAACTTGACAGGTAAAGCAAACAATTCAACAGCAAGTGTTCACACGAGTCATCGAGCAATGCATTTCTCTATTCACGCCGGGTGCTGTCACCAGCTTTTTCACACTTCTCACACCAGCAGCTGAGGAGCGATACACGCGAGTTCATGACTGAGAGCAAACCAAGCATCACGAAGTCAACTCCAGAAAATGAAACACCAAGCGACTGCTCGACGACTTATGTGAAGGAAACTTCTATCTCCTGCTTGTTTTCTTTATCGCGTGTATGCTGCAGCACATCCACGTTGCACTCCCTGCACCATTCACCAGCCGAAGAGCTCGCTGCGTATCTCCCTCTCCTTCTCCACACTCCACCTGTTTGGTACACTCATCCCTCCATCCCCCCCCCCCCCCCCCCCCCCCC